CATAAGTCAAGTTTTATCAATAAAAATCATTAGGAATTCATATTAAACGCAAGGAAGTATTACAGATCTCATTTTGTGATAATTACAAAGTTACTGGGCATTAAATTGTTTTATTGTATAAATATGCGACAATGAACTCCGATTCCATGTTTCCATTTTACTCAAGTTAAAAAAGCACGCGCCGTCTCAATAATTACGTCAGGCTGGCAAAGACCGTATTTATTGTCAAAATATTTCCATTAGTTAAGGTAAACACAAGTTATCAATATTGTCTTATTATTGTAGTTACAACCACGACAACAATGATTTAAAGTTACAATTAGCAATAGAACTTATTACTTTCGAAATTACTTCACCGAAATCGAAACGTATTCAATTAAATATACCATTTAATTAGTCATAACAGGTTAATAAGCCGAAAAATTCCACTTGCATTACATTTTTTCCCAGCCGACGTATAGACTACAGAGGGGATGAAAGAGAGAGCGAGAGAGTAAGAGTGGCGTGCGGTGAAAGTTCATAAGAAATTTAACTGCAATAAACTGTATCACTCTTATATGTCATGCTGAAGGATAAATTGTAGTGATTACTCATAATTTCATAATAGTAACAAGATTGAAGGGAGAACGTTTTACTTAACAACACAGCTGCTTGTGCGTTTGTGTTTTTGTCTAATATGCCACAATAATAATAATTATCACTAAAAGAGGAATTAATTTTTCTGTTCCATGCCATCGCTAAATATTCAATTAACTAAAGAGATATCTGTGCACATCTGTTGACATTGTCAACAAGAGTAGCTGTGCTCTGCGTAACATAGCTGTGGTGAGAGCCCTGGCATCTCCATGCTTCTAGGAACTTTGCAGGGTTGCCAGTAGGGCATTTTCCGGACAAATTTCACGATTTGGGCCTTTTTTCAGATGCGTTAGCCAGTAAAAGTTTGTGATGGACTTGAAATTATTATATTTCTCTATGTATAAATAACTGAAGAATTGAATTATCAGCGTGAATTACAAATTTACAAATAAATTTCGAATTGTAGCTTCCGACGGTCGGATGTTGCATGTGTACTTAGCCACGCAACTTTATTTTTTAATGACGTTATACGTACCGGTATAAGAGGCAGTTCGGTGACTAAGTTGACATTAAGTGCATTTTACCTTGTACGTATTTGAGAACTTTTGTATACCACTTGTTTTCTGGTGTCTCATTATAGGTCTGCAAGTTCGGCTCTTCAGATGTGGCTGTTCTGTATACAAAATACAGATCTTTGAATACATTAATTGCAAGTGCTACTTTCAAACTTGCATTCGCGTTTCGGATAGTTACGCAGTGTCAAACTGGCCCACTGCAGCTAGTAATACAAGGATAATGTTCAATTGACATATTTTATTTATTTATTGCAACTGCATGACTTGCGTTATTTGAGTATCAAAGCTTTTGTTTATGATTGAAATGAAAAGGCGCACCAACTCTATAATTTTTGCTGAAATGAATTGGTGTTCGATCTCGACGAATTAATAAATTAACCTCATTAACAACATTGAGGTCGATTTACTATATTACTCTGATTTATCTATTCTGTCTCGTTGAATTTATACTCTCCTATGTTATTAATTTCGATGAATGAATCGTAATATTGAGGTTCCTATTAATCTTTCACTCATAGTCTCAATTATCCTGGCGCGTTCTATTCATTACCAGCATCTTTTTGTTAAATTATATACGTCAGATTTACCGATTCTGTTGTATGACCTGAACTTTTTATCGTCAACCTGTCGTGGCCGAGGCTCGGTGCTGCAGCAACATTTCTGGTGCACTGCTGCTGCAGCAACATTCTTTGTGCACTGCTGCTGCTGCAACATTCTTAGTGCACTGCTGCTGCAGCAACATTTCTGGTGCACTGCTACTGCAGCAACATTCCGGGTGCACTGCTGCTGCAGCAACATTCTTGGTGCACTGCTACTGCAGCAACATTCTTGGTGCACTGCTGCTGCTGCAACATTCTTGGTGCACTGCTACTGCAGCAACATTCTTGGTGCTCTGCTGCTGCAGCAACATTCCTGGTGCACTGCTGCTGCAGCAACATTCTTGCTGCACAGCTGCTGCAGCTACATTTCTGGTGCATTGCTGCTGCTGCAACATTCGTGGTGCACTGCTGCTGCAGCAACATTTTTGGTGCACTGCTGCAGCGCACTAACATCCCAAATGTGTAGCGCCGAAAAGAAGCCCGTCTTTCTGCACCATCTTCGTGCCGAGATGAGGACGATGAGGGCTGCGCGAGTCCGCTTTTGTGCGGCAAGTCCCTCGAGGTGCAACACGTCGCCCTCGCCTCCCTCAGGAGGGAAGACGCGATCTCTTGCAGAGGTTTTGTGTCGGCATTTCGTGGTGCCGCATTGATGGACCAATCAACGCATTGCAATTGAATTACGCTAGCCTATACACAGAGAAATGAATGACTCATTGTCCAAATAGCTGCGCACTGTTGTTCGTGTGTGGGGGGTTACCTGACCCGTTTTGGCCCGACGAAAGAGGGTATCAGTGCTACTATCAGGAAGTGTATCACTATTTATGAAATAAAACCCTCAATTTTTCTGAGCGCACAATACTGCACCGAACATATTCTCTGCGAAAGTCATTCTTGAACATTTTTATTACCTGAAAAGGTTATACTAAAAACGAAAAAAGATTCAATTCGACGATGTGCATGCTGCTTTATTTGCCTTCGATTTTCCGACGTGGGAAGTCACTTTTTAATAAATAAATGTTGAACAGATGTCGCATTATTAATAAAAATAAACATGACGTGATTCATAGTTATATGTTGTGTAAGAATATAATCTCACATATAATCTCACATCGCAAGAACGTTGAACTTCTATGCCATAATAAGAATGAAAACACACTACGCCAAATCATTTACTAAAAAATATAATTCAGTACACACTGCAGTGAGTGACAGAGAGCGCATTTTCTCGTCGACGAAAACGTGAAGTCACGGACGGACGGACAGACAGACGGACGGACATGGCGAGCACACTAGGGCATTTTTTCAATAAATGAGAAAATGCGCTAAAAATGTTCGATTGAAACATCCTCTGCGCAATGTTGCAAAAAACTTACAGTGAACTAAAGCTTAAAAGCTCAGGAGAAAGGAAGTACAATTATATGTGAACCCTTGAGAGCTGGTTGAGGGAGTATTTGGTTTTCTGTCCTGTCGATCAAAACTCTCTTATGTACATACAGCGGCCTAAGTACACGTATAGCGGCTGTGGTACACTTAGCGGCCTAAGTACACTTAGCAAGATGGTTCAGTACGTTGTTTCGCTGCACTTCATGCCATTTAGTAGATCTTTTACTGCTACCAACTAATACGTCACTAAATTAAAACGTGACAATCAGTTACCATTACCAATTTAAACGTCACTCAACTTTCGTAGCTGGTTTGCTCTCCTGCTCAGTGTTGCGTCGTGCCAGTATTTCTTCTATTCAAAGAAAATGTGTCCCTTTGTTTCATTCTAGGTTAATTATGAGAAATTACAACTGGCAACGATTTCTTGATGTTGCTGTACTGTTTCTGCGATGTGATTTGTTTCAGTCATTCATGTAGTTTACGACTTGCGCATGGAGCATTGACATAAGTCAGTTTAAAGCTGATTAGTCACAACTGCTTGTTTTGCTGGCCTTCACGTTGTTGTGTTTAGTTCAGGGTTCACACATTTGCTATGATTCCAATAAAATATTTTTCTGTTGGTTGTACATGAGCGGCTAATTTTTCAGTCATTCACGAAAATTTTCATATAAACAACCTCGTCTTTGTCCTTTATTTCTGTATTACTGTATAAAATGTTTCATGCTAGCCTTTGCTCGCCGTACTGACTAGCAATAATTGTATTTATATGTGCTAACGGTTTGTATTTCTTATCAAGAAAATCATAAAGCTTTGTCTAGTGCTAATAAAAAAACAAGCTTCATTTACTAAGTTTGTGGACGATAATTTAAAAAACTGCATTTCAACTCGGAAGTAGCTTTTGGATTAAAATTCAGCCAAATGCGAAGCAAAGAAAATGTATCAGAATGACCCATAATTTTTTCCAGTGTGCTGGGTTGGCTCATTGTCTTGCCCTCAATAGGCTCGTTAGGGTCGCGGTCATCGTGACAAATTTGCCGCGCGTTTTGCTGCCTTTTTGGCCTCAAGGTGCCAGCTTTGGCCGCGCCGACCGTGAATCCATCGCGCCATGGAAGGCCGACCATGAATCCATCGCGCTATGGAAGGCCGACCATGAATCCATCGCGCCATGGAAGGCCGACCATGAATCCATCGCGTCATGGAAGGCCGACCATGAATCCATCGCGTCATGGAAGGCCGACCATGAATCCACCGCGCCATGGAAGGCCGACCATGAATCCACCGCGCCATGGAAGGCCGACTATGAATCCACCGCGCCATGGAAGGCCGACCATGAATCCATCGCGTCATAGAAGGCCGACCATGAATCCACCGCGCCATGGAAGGCCGACCATGAATCCACCGCGTCATGGAAGGCCGACCATGAATCCACCGCGTCATGGAAGGCCGACCATGAATCCACCGCGCTATGGAAGGCCGACCATGAGTCTACCGTGCCATGAGGCTAATCATCTAGAATCGTTTTTATGCTGCGGTATTGAGAATTATTTGTTGAAAAATGTTCATTGGCTGGTTTAGATTTATTTCATACTCAAGAGGTGAGAATGCATACATTTACTCATTGTCACTCGTTACGTAAAGAAGGCATTAATCTCGGTAATGGTGTTATATTTTATTGCCGAAGTTTTACCGCACTATACTGCTTCCGTACAGCTTCTGATGGTGCACTAAATAATGTCTCTGATGCATAAATTTTGACGGTAAAGTTTAAATAGGCTATAGAATAGAGATCTGCCATGATTTCACAATAACATTTATTTTCTGTACACATTCTTCACACAGGCCTAGAATATAAATTGAGTACCTAGGTCTATTGACCTGCCGCTGGTATGTGGACCGGGTGTGTGATACAAACTCTGCCTGCACTCAGACAAACGAGGGAGTCTTTGTCCAAATGACCATGTGCCTTTATGATCCTGTGTGGGTCATCCTGACCCAGTTCCGGGGTGAGGGGCAGGGAGGGGCGAGGGGCAGGGAGGGGCAAGGGGTAGGGAGGGGTGAGGGCAGGAAGGGGTGAAGGGCAGGGAGGGGCGAGGGGCAGGGAGGGGTGGAGGGCAGGGAGAGACTGAGGGGCAGGGAGGGTCTGAGGGGCAGGGAGGGTCTGAGGGGCAGGGAGGGGTGATGGGCAAGGAGGTGCTGAGAGGCAGGGAGGGTCTGAGGGGTAGTGAGGGGTGAGGAGCAGGGAGGGGTGAGGGGCAGGGAGGGATGAGGGGCAGGGAGGGGTTTGATGCATGGAGGGGCTATATATGAGGCACAGAGGGGCTGAGAGGCAAAGAGGGGCCAGCATTAATCGTAAGTGAGCCCATCAAGGCCTATAGAGAGGCAGAAATATGTGTCGGCCGTATATATGTTTGTACTGTGACGTATATACTTGTATATAATCATTATTATTTATGAACTAAATTCATGTTTCTAGTATTACCATTTTACTTCGTCCTCTTTCTACTCTTTTCGTTTGTAAGATAGTTTGTCACTATAAAGAAAATCTGACAAATTTATCTTTTATGATTTTGAGCAATTGTAGCAGTTCATATAAAAATCATACAATATATAATAATATAATATATCACGCGTGGTGGCATGTAAGTTTACGGTAATTCCCGTGTATTTTAATTATATCGCGGGTGATGGCATGTAAGTTCACGGCAATTCGTGTGTATTTCAACTCACGTGTACCGGGCAGGTTCACGGCAATTCGTGTGTATTTCAACTCACGTGTACCGGGCAGGTTCACGGCAATTCGTGTGTGTTTCAACTCACGTTGTACCGTGGCAATTCGCGTGTATTTCACTTCACGTGCACCGGGCAGGTCCACGTGGTGCACGTGTCAGCGCCTACGTCAGGTCGGGTGCTGGTGATGTTGAGGGGGTCACCGCCGTCTGGGGGGCGGGTAGCCCTGCTGCTGCACTCGTCCCTCCGTCAGGGCGCTGTCTTCACCGTCACCGCTCCTCAGCACACGGCGCTCAAGCCCCCCGTTGTGCTCGTGGGTTATAATGACAGAAAGTACACTTAGCATTACTTATACACGTAGTATTACTTATTTTACTTCTTACTTTACTTTACTCGGAGAAATAAGTGAGGCTTGGTCCTAATAGTGATGTCTTTCTTATCATTAAGTAGATCCTCATGACCTAATTTGGTCTGGTTAAAGGGTGTGTCAGTGCTACATACTCAATATTTTGTTAATAAATTCGTTTAAATTCCTTTATTTTCTGAATGTGCCTGCTTATGGTGCATTTTATTTATGGTTTGATATTGCTTACGTGACTCGTTATCGTGTTTTAATAATGTTAACAACTCACTTATTGATTGTTTGATGTGTTATTTTCTTATTTTATTGACAATTTTATGTATACACGTAACATATTAGTGCTAATTCGACAATATCACGATAATACCTATTATATTCTTATTATTAATATTAACATCAAATTCATAGCCTTATTTATTATATTACCAAAGTAGTCATATTATTATTTATTATATTAACCTACTATTCAAATTCTTATTCATGATATTAAAACTATTTTTCTATTCATATTCCGAATATCAACTTTTTTATTGAAAATATTGAACATACTTAACATAATGTAAGATTTTGTAATAATAATATTTATAATAATATAATATAATCATATTATCATCATCTTAATCATGCAGGTGAGCGGCGCAGACCGCGTACAGGATCTTGATCATACTTAACATAATATAAGTATTTTAAAATAATAATATTACATGATACAATCATATCATTATCATAATATTAATATAATGTAATCATATTATTATCATTGCAATGATCCAGGTGAGCGGTGCAGACCGCGTACAGGGCGCAGGCCCGCACGTAGAGCGCCACCGCCACGCGTTCCCCACGCAGCAACTCATCGCCGCGGCCTACACGCAACTCGGCTTCGTCACCTCGTACACGCGCATGCGTAAAGCTACGCGTGTCATCATACGCCTTGATGCCGGTACGTCACGCTCATAGAAGTTGAGTGGTCAAATTGTCTAAATCCTATACGATACGGCTTGATGCCGTTGGTTCGCGCTCAGAAATGTGTGTGGTCAAATTGTCCAAATCCAAAATGATACGACTTGATGCCGGTGGTTCACGCTCAGAAATATAAAATTTTTCGTTTTCTCCAAATAATGAAACATGTTCATTTAATGAATAAACGAGGACAAACGTAGCACTGATACGACCTTTTGCCGAGTTAAACTGGGTCAAAATGACACACATAAGCGCAATAATTATATTGCCGTTTAGACAAAGTCCAAGTTGGTTCTTTGAGTATGACAGTGCGTGTAGCCGTAGGCTAGACCTAGACCTTCTCGAAACCTAGATGTTAAACCGTTTCATTTTAGTATTTAAATTTTGTTATCATCATGATGTACTAATATTATGATGTCATTTGTACTGATGTAGTTTGATCACGGAATATTATATTGTTTTCGTTACGGCGAAAACATAATTTTTTATTTAGTCATGGAAGACAACAACCTGACTTGAATTAGTAAATTCAACAGCATTAAAAATGATGAATATTGGGTATTATTTTCATTCGGTCTTAGAGAACAGCAACCTGACTTGAATTAGTTAGTAAATTCAACATTATTAATAATTATCAATATTGATTATAATTTTATTCAGTGTCAGAGAACAGCAACCTGACTTGAATTAGTTAATAAATTCAACATTATTAATAATTATCAATATTGATTATAATTTTATTCAGTGTCAGAGAACGGCAACCTGACGCAGAGCTGCGACACGAGCGTCCAGCAGACAAGTCCTGTGGCCTCCTGCTACGTCACCAGACCAGTGCCCCTGGCTGGTTGCTACCACCACACCAACATGTTCCACAGGTACCCAAGCTACCACCACACCAACATGTTCCACAGGTACCCAAGCTACCACCACACACTCAGTATATAATAACTACTGTGTTCACTTACGTCCGAAAAATTATTTCATTTAATAAAACCGTTAAATGAATAAATAAATTAAATAAATTGATTAAATAAATAAATTTCGTTGCGCTTGCTTTTTATTTTGAGACGTTTTCTGATCTCTTTTTATATTCATCAATTCTTGACGATCGGGTTTTTCCTTAATAATTCTCATGTCGCTTCTATTTACAATGAATTTGAAAACAGAAAAGAAGGCACAAAAATTCACCATCTCATTTTCTTCAACACCAATTGTGCCATCTTCTTTGTTTTTAAATTCCTTGTAAATTTGCAATCCAAGCAATCAAGTGATCTTAACGCTTCAATTTATTTCCACTTTTTACTCCAGATGCATTTACATTTTTGATTTTTTTTGTCCATTTCTGACGTTCGTTTCTTTTTAGCTCATTTTCTCATGTATGGAAAAAATGCACTATTGTGCTTGCCATGTCCGTCCGTCCGTCCGTCTGCCTGTCTGTCCGTCTGTCCGTGACCACGTTTTCGTCGACGAGAAAATGCGCTCTCTGTCTCTCACTGCAGTGAGTACTGAATTATATTTCTGTTATATTCTTATTGCAGATTTTATTTAGTTTCATTTAATCGACAATAAGAATTAGACAATTAGTTTCATTTCTTATTGCCGATTTTATTTACTTTCATTTAAACTCTACACGGAATATTTTTTCAGCGGCGTTCACATCATCGCTGTGGACGGAAGTCAGCCCGCGGTGACGGTGGAGGTGGTGGGGGGCGGTGGCGACCCCCACCCCGCGTCGCCCCCCACCAGGAAAGAGAACCTCACCCTGGTGCTGGCCTCCCCCCTCCCCTCCACCACCTGGACCCTCACCACCGCGGGGCTGCGTGGGGCTATCACCGTGGTCCTTGTGAGTCTTTTTAATTCTTTGTATTCATAATATCCTTGGTATTCTTCGTATCCTTATCATCATTAGTATCCTTTGTATCCTTATCATCATTAGTATCCTTTGCATCCTTATCATCATTAGTATTCTTAGTATCCTTAGTATTCTTTGTATCCTTTGTATTCTTTGCATCCTTTGTATTCTTAATATCCTTAGTATTATTAGTAACCTTAGTATTCTTAGTATCCTTAGAATCCTTTGTATTCTTAGCATCCCTAGAATCCATAGTATCCTTTGTATTCTTCGTTCCTTTGAATCCTTAATATCATTAATATCATTAGTATCCTTAAAACCATAAGGTATCCTTAGTAACCTTCGCTGGAGCGCCGCCCCAGGATACCACCTCCCTCAGCCCCGACAGGTCCTCGTATAAACTCAGTTTCATCCGCTTATGGGTTATTTGCATCGCTTAATAAGCACTTTAATTCCTTATTTTTCTCGGTTGTTTAGTGATGTTTTTATATTGTTTGCTTAAGTTCGCTCCTTAGCGCATTTTCTCATTTATGGAAAAAAGGCGCTATTGTGCTCGTCATGTCCGTCTGTCCGTCTGTCTGTCCGTCCATGACTTCACGTTTTCGTCGACTGGAAAATGCGCTACAGCATGCGCTGCAGTGAGTACTGAATTAAATTTTGTATGTCGTTTGCTAATGGCCCTTTTATATCGCATTTTCTTATCTATGGAAAAAAGGCGCTATTTTGCTCGTCATGTCCGTCCGTCTGTCTGTGACCTCAAGTTTTCGTCGACGAGAAAATGCGCTCTCTGTCACTCACTGCAGTGAGTACCGAGTTATATTTTGTGTTTATTTCGCAGGGTCCAGAAGATGCAGAGCTTGTGGAGGAGACCAAAGTTGACGCGGGTGTGGAGGTGGCCGTAGAGCGGCAGCGACTTCCCTCTTCATTTGACCAGCTCTTGATGCACGTCTTGAACAACATCGGCCCCTTCAACTGGTATGCCTCCTCTTCAGCCTCCCGTATACGCCTCACCATCTCGCCTGTTCCCGGTAAGTTAATTAATACTATACAATTAATTCTCTTCATCAAGGTGATATTCGCCATTTTATTTATATATGTTTGCATTTATATGTTTGCAGCAACTTTTTTTTATCAAACATAATATATATAACTCATGCATAATAAAATACTTATTAAAATACTTATTTAAAAAATACTTATTTATAAAACTCTTACATAAAACCCTACAGTAAACATATTCTCGGTTTACAATGAAATTCATGAATGATAACGGAACAGAGCTGGACGAGCTGGTGCAGAAATGGCTGGTGGTGGAGTGTCCACCCCGGCACATGATCGCATCACTACCACGATGGGTGATGGACAAAGTAACAGAGGCATTAGGTGGCCGCCTTGTGATGGCCATGACCGACCATCCTGAGTGCCACAGCAAGAACAACGGCACGCACCTCGTCCTGGACGCCCGTCTCAACGGCTGCGGCTTCTGGAAGCAAATGCGACGCCAGAAAGGCCTTTTTGTTAATGAGGTAATAATGTTTTATTTGTTAATGAGGTAATGTTTTATTCGTTAATGAGGTATTAATGTTTTATTTATTAATGAGGTAATAATGTTTTATTCGTTAATGAGGTATTGATGGTTTATTTGTGAGGTACTAATGTTTTATTCGTTAATGAGGTATTAATGTTTTATTTATTAATGAGGTAATAATGTTTTATTCGTTAATGAGGTATTGATGGTTTATTTGTGAGGTACTAATGTTTTATTCGTTAATGAGGTATTAATGCTGTCTCTTATACACATCTAGATGTGTATANTGATGTTTTATTTGTTAATGAGGTATTGATGTTTTATTTGTTAATGAGGTAATAATGTTTTATTCGTTCATGAGGTATTGACGGTTCTTAGTTAATGAGGTATTGGTGGTTACTTTGTTAATGAGGTATATGCGCCGCCAGAAAGGCCTTTTTGTTAATGAGGTGATGATGTTTTATTTGTTAATGAATAATGAGGTATTGATGGTTGCTTAGTTAATGAGGTATTGACGGTTACTTTGTTAAAGAGGTACAAATTATTTCTTTGTTAGTGAGGTTCGAACAAATACGTAGGCCTTTTTGTTAATGAGGTATTGATGTTTTATTTGTTAATGAGGTATTTATAGTTCCTTTGTTAATGAGGTATTTATAGTTACTTTGTTAATGAGGTATTGATGGTTAGTTTGTTAATGAGATATTTATGGTTAGTTTGTTAAGGAGGTATTGAAGTTTTATTTGTTAATGAAGAATGACGGTTACTTTGTTAATGAGGTATTGATGTTTTCTTTATTAATGAGGCATTTATAGTTATTTTGGTAATGAGTTATTTATGGTTACTTTGTTAATGAGGCATTTATAGTTACTTTGTTAATAAGCTATTTACGATTGCTTTGATAATGATGTATTTATGATTACTTTGTTAATGAGGTACAAATTATTTCATTGCCAATGAGTTGCAAATAGGAAGGCATTTTTATTAATGAGGTGCTGGTATTTAGCGGTAAATGAATTTTTTTTTATGCATGTTGTGGGTTGATTGGATTTTTGGGATATAATTGTATAGATAATGGATAACCAGTCTATAATTGGATACTTATAAAATTATTGGAGGGATAATCCTATCCATTGCAATCAAAATCTTTTAAGCAATAACCTTCAATCAATCAATTGGAATTAGAATCAGACGTATTTTATATTATATTTAACGATCAAGTCTTAGAGACTACGTGTTCAGGACGTTGAGACTTTTCTTGTTTTTAAGACGAGGTACACACACTTTCCTTGTATTTAAGACGAGGTACACACACTTTCCTTGTATATAAGAAGAGGAACACTCACTTTCCTTGTATTTAAGACGAGGAACACATTCACAGGTGACGATGCAGACGGTGTCATCGGTGTACTCAGACGACGATGAGCTGGCGGGCAGCGGCTCAGGAATTGACGAAGGAGACGACGACGAAGATCTTGACCAAGACCAGCGCTTCAGGGTCACCAGCCTCGTCTCTGTCAAGGTATTATTAAGCAGAGAAATGAGTATGGCTTTGTCCTAACAGAGATATCCTTTTTTTCATCTCTGTTAAGGTTTTATAACAATGTTAAGGTTTTAACAATCAGAGAAATAAGCATGACTTTATCCTAATAGAGATATGTTTTTTATAATTGCATTGCGCTTTCTGCAGTTGTGTATAGGTCATCCCGAACTAGTTCGGCCCCGCAAAATGACATGTCATTGATACATGCAGAGAATGTGTCACTATTTAAGCAATATGAAACATAAATTTATTGCTGCATAATTCAACTATTGAATATTATGTTAGTAATTATGCAGATAATGAAAACAAAATTCCAAAGTGACAAGAGAACCGAGCGGCATCGATTATATTATTGCGCTTTCAAAAATCTATAAAATTTTATTAGTTTACACTATAACATAAAATTTTTCTGATATGATGTTAGGAATAAAGATCATTTTAAAGTAAACGTAGCTGACAAGGATGTCATATATATAATGTTTTTCTTTACGGTTACATGAAGTGAGGGATGCTCACTGCTTACACGAGTTATACACGTTGATTTCCATTGTTCATGAATGTCATGTCACAAATAACACTGTAATAGTTTCTAATTTCTACAATATATATCAATAGTAATACAACATATAAAAAATATACAAATAATTGTCGGCGTGTTTCTGCATCTATAATATATTAATAGTAATGAAAAATATAAATATACATATTATTATAAATAATTATGTAATTGTGATCGTGTTTGTGCAGGTTGACTGCCCGGCCCCCGTAGCGCTGCCGGAGAGCACTCTAGTCTCCCTGCCAACCGTCCCGCGCCCCAACGTTACCAAGGGCAACGTCACTCCAACGCCTTCGTCTGTCTCTGTAAGATTCTTTGCATTTATTATAGGGATAAATATTTTACTTTAGATGTAGAAGACACATTGTAGAGATATAAAACTGTCATATATTGAGATGTTTAAATGAATATCACGGGCTGTAAACGTCACCCTAGCGCCTCCGTTATGTCTCTATACGATTGTTTGTATTATTAAAGTCATGAATATCATTGAGAGTAAATGATTTACCATCATCTGCTCAAAATATCCCTATTTCAACTATAAAATCGTAATTTTTTAATTAAAATAAACTATAATTTCTATCGCGATGATGAGAGCCGAACAAGTAACCGCAAGAGTGGCAATTTATCTCAAGTCTTTGAACTGTAAATTTGAATTCAGGTGTAATTTTTTTTAAAATGTGCAAATGACCGCAGATATTTATTATAGATTTAAATAACAATAACTTTTTGACGACCGGACATTTCATGCGGCGTTCTTCATACGAAGTAGAAGTAATTTTTATGATTACGAGAAAGGATAAATTAGACTTATAAACATATATAAATAAATAAGATAAATAGGACGATCTTTATCTGTTGAGGTATATATCACTTGTAGAAGCTGGAGCTTGATTGCATGAAAATAATAATGAGACTTTTATTATTACTTACTATTGAAAGATACTAAATACCAATAGAGTATATTAATTAATACATTTAATTCCATGTCGTGCAGAAGCTCGAGCTTAATTACACGAGAAGTACAATGAGACTTTTATTATTACTCACTGTTAGAATATACTAAATACAATAGAGTACCTATATTAATTAATACACTTAATTCCATCACTTGCAGAAGCTCGAGCTTGATTACAAGAGAAAAACAATGAAACCTTTATTATTATTTTCTATTGGTAGATACTAAATACCAATAGAGTATCTTAATTAATACACCTAATTCCATGACGTTCAGAAGCTGGAGCCCGTGCCGTACGTGCTGAACGTGGAGCGCATTCCTAATGTGGTGGACGCCTCTAGGGTGTGGGTACGCTTCAGGGCCACCGCCTCTGCTGCCTCAGGTGCCTTAGTTTCCTTAGTTCCCTTAGTATTTGTTTGGGACATAGCAGTCCCAGGCCACGATGGATCGCCGCCTCTGATTATCGTTCATCCGCCTCAAATTAATTGTTTTAATTTCTACGCTTAAAAACTTTTCCCGTATTGTACGAATTGCAGTTTTTATAATATAAACCACTTAGTCATATTTTTTACACATGCTGCTACAATATTGCTGCTACATTGCTGCTACAAAATTGGATTTGATGTAGTATTGGATAATTGTGTGCGGCTGAAGATGGAACTACGTGTTACACTCTGCGTGCAAAATTGAACTTGTACACCCGTTCCTGAATTATTAAACCGGATATTTTACATGAAAATTAGTGACCAGACAGTTTTCAAAAATTTTGTATCATATTCCCTTCCTGAAATACTGAAGTTGATATTGGGTTGATAAGGAAGTTGATTCTTTTTTGTATAGAAGTCGACGCCTGTATAAAAATCGCACCTTAATTGCTATATTGTATTTCTATATTATAATGCTATATTATTGCACCTCCTTTGCTATATTATTCTCAAACGTTCGTTCGTATCATCATTCAATGATATTTGACATCTAAAGTTGATATTTGAGTTGATATTTATTTGAGCAGAAATAGAAGCATGGGTACGGCTGGTGCTGGAGCACTGTTGGGTGTCAGGTAAACGTGAACCAGAACGCCCTCAGCTGACGCTCGTACGCAAGTCTTGTAGCGTCAACACCACCGTCACCATGCTGCCTCGACAGTATCATCACTCTTCTTCGTTCACTTTTGGAGTAAGAGCCTTTTTGCTGTTAAACATGAGATTTTAGAATGATTAATCACACTTTGATTACCAGTAAACACAGGGGTGATGACGTTTCTTCTATTTCTTGCTGAGCTGTAATTTTACAATAACTTTGTAATCCCAAACGTTTCAACCTTAATCATATTTTGTGATAGAAGTGCTCAAAGTTGTGAGGATATTCCTTTAAAGGAATATCTTTAATTTTTAAAATATCTTTAATTTTAGGACCTTTAATTTTTCTTACGTGTGTGATATTGTTCAGCTAGCTGTTATTACCTCATTTTCATAATTTTCGAACTTTATAATAGTTTACTCATTATCCATATTCCCGTATTCAAACATCGTTAATAAGTACTTGACTTAAAGCACAATTATAAATTATGTATACTATTTTAGATGGGTATTTATTATTCATATTAAATTATTATTATATATGTAATATTAATATGTTTATTAGTAATTTTATACATGTAATACATTTTTTTATTATTTTCACTTATAGTATATCATATTATCTAAATTACTTGTATATTATTATGTATATTTAATATGAGTTGTGACATGTAGGTAGACGAGCATCAGCAGCAAGTGTTCCTGCACTGCAAGGTGGGCATCTGCTCCACGGACCCTGACCTCGCCAAGGAGTACAACCTGCAACAGGTTCGCTTGAATCATATTATATAAATTATATTTATATATTTTCATTGTATTACTGTACGTGATACTGTACACTGTAATACTGTACGTGAAACTGTACACTGTAATACTGTACATGATACTGTAAACTGTAATACTGTACATGATACTGTAAACTGTAATACTGTACATGATACTGTACACTGTAATACTGTACGTGAAACTGTACACTGTAATACTGTACATGATACTGTAAACTGTAATACTGTACATGATACTGTACACTGTAATACTGTACATGATACTGTACACTGTAATACTGTACATGATACTGTACACTGTAATCCTGTACATGATACTGCATACTGTAATACTGTACACTGTAATATTGTACGTGATACTGTACACTGTAATACTGTACATGATACTGTACACTGTAACGCTGTACACTGTAACACTGTACGGGATACTGTACACTAAAACGCTGTACACTGTAACGCTGTACACTGTAACGCTGTACACTGTAACGCTGTACACTGTAACGCTGTACACTGTAACGCTGTACACTGTAACACTACGTGACACTGTACACTGTAACACTACGTGACACTGTACACTGTAACACTACGTGACACTGTACACTGTAATACTGCACATGTTGCAGTGCCGCGAGCCGAGCCTGTACTGCCACAAGCTCGACGTGCGGCCGATCTTCTTCAGCTTCACCCCGGCGTCGCAGCTCAAGTCGCTCGTGTCGGGCCCTCTGCCCATGCATGAGGACCTTGCAGGTCAGTTTTTGCTATCCTAAGTTGAAATATCGTTGATAAAACGTCGTTTCAACGAAAACAATTTTGTAATCAACAATCATGGATATTATATATATTATTAATATACACTTATCATTACCTCGATAAAGTGCCATGGATGAGGACCACGGAGGCCAGTTTTTTTGCTATCTTACGTTGAAATATAGATAATAAAAAATCGTTTCAACGAAAAGAATTTGTAATCAACAATCATGGATATACTAGATATTATTAAATATTCACTTATCATTACCTCGCCATGGTGCCAAAGATCAGGACCTCGCAGGTCAGTTTTTTGCCATCTGACGTTGAAATATCGTCGATAAAACGTCATTTAAACGAAAACAATTCGTAGTCACCAATAATAGTATTACTATAAATAAATTAATATACACTTGTCATTACCTCGCTAAGGTGCCACGGATGAGGACCTTGAAGGTCAGTTTTTTGTTATCTGACGTTGAAATATCGTTGATAAAATGTCGTTTCAACGAAAACAATTCGTAATCAACAGTCAATGATACTATAAATATTATTAATATACACTTATCATTACCTCGCTAAGGTGCCATGGATGAGGATGGCTCAGCCATTAAGAGCGCAGCAGCGCCGAGCTCCGGCCAGCAGCCGTTGACGGTCATCCAGGGCGTGGCCACGGAGATCGTCATCGGCATCTCCATCTCATCCTTCCTTATTGGCGTGTGTCTTACGGGCGTCCTGTGGCTCATCCACGTGCATACAGGTACTGGGGCTCATCCACGTGCATACAGGTACTGGGATACAGGTACTGTGCTCATCCACGTGCATACAGGTACTGGGGCTCATCCACGTGCATACAGGTACTGGGCTCATCCACGTGCATACAGGTACTGGGGCTCATCCACGTGCATACAGGTACTGGGCTCATCCACGTGCATACAGGTACTGGGGCTCAGCCACGAGCCCCATCCACAGGTAATTAAAGTCATAGCAGACCATTGCGTCAATTAACTTGTTAACGGCACTGATAATCATACTATTGTACGGAATAGAAACTACATAGTCATTTATAACTTACCTTGAGAGTCGTGAGAACTCCAAAAATTATTTTACAAAAAAAAATTTTTTTCGCCAAAAAACCATCAATAAATTATTTCACAAAAAAGCATAAAAATATAACTCAGTACTCAATGCAGTGAGTGACAGAGAGCGCATTTTCTCGTCGACGAAAGCTTGAAGTCACGGACGGACAGACAGACGGACGGACAGACAGACTTACATGGCGAGCACAATAGTGCATTTTTTTCATAAATGAGAAAATGCGCTAAAAATTATTATACCAAAAAACATCAAAAAATTGTTCTAAAAAAAAGCATAAAAATTATTTTATAAGAAAAAGCATCACAAAATTATTTTCCAGACCCGCGTCGGCAACATAGACCTGAGCCGGCGGCGCCCCGCAACTCTGGCTACGACCTCTCAGCAAACTCCGGCTCTACGACTCCGTCCTCACAGGCTCCCATGACTGCATGACGGTTCCCGCGCCGGCTCCAGCTGCTTATGCTTCAGCGAGTCTTGATCCTGCATCATCAACATCAACATCAACAACATCTTCAACAACCGAATCATCAACATTACCATCATCATTCGCCCGAAGACGCGCAGCCTGGAGCCTCTTCAGGAAACTTTATAAATGACGAGTCTTCCATGAATGGGAAATTCAAACGCGAGGCTCAGAAGTTTCATCCCCGGGGAAAGTGGACGGGGAAATGTGGAGGTAAAAACTCTAAAAAGTTCCTCAACAGCAGGAAAAATAATATGAAAGAGATCTTCTGTCGCAAGAAAGGCAGCAAGTTCATGCCCGATGGAACTTTCCGACGTGAAGACCAATTCGAAAATCGATTTGAAGTCAGCACACCTAATGACGTCGTCAGAATTGAGCTGGAGAATGTGACAAAGTTTCACCTCCGCAATCGTGAATATTTTATGCCTAAAGACAGTCACTGCTCAGAGGCGGTCCAAACTGTTGAATCTCACTTCGGAAAAACGGGGGCCAAAAGAGGCCACGAACAAATGGATTTAAACACATCATTCAAGAAAAAGCGTCAGGTCTCGCAGTGCTACACGCCTCCCAGCATCACGGTGTTTAGCATCGCTGATGCCAAGAAAGACCTGAACTTGTGTCCTAAACAGCAGCTTGGCCGCCAGTGCAGTGAAAATCTTAGTTCAAGGCAGACAAAACTGGGATCAGGATCCCTCTCAAGGCATTCCTACCCCTTCGAAGGACAAGATAAGAAACTTGCCATGCCGGAAAGTAATGAAAAGAACAAAATTATAAGAAATACGGGTCAACGCAGTGGAAAGAATATAGGTGCAGAGCTGGATAAGAGTGGACGTGATCTTGCACCGAAACTAAAAGCAAAAATTTCATTAAGTAACGAAATTAAAAGATGTGACACTAATCCAGATGGCAGCTCCTGCACTAATGATTTTTTGGTCGCTAACTTGGGTGGTGGAAATGATAGTGAGAACGAAACTATTGAAATGATGGAACGTAAGCAACCGCATGTGAATGCAAGCGGTCACAGTAAACAAGGAAAAGACAATGCCATGTCTGAACACGAGGCATTATTACCCCCAATAAAAGCTCCCGAAATTAAACTCTCGAGTTCTGATCTCAGTAAAAAGTCTCAAGATTGTGCGGCCCACGGAGGTTCATCGTCTCAGCCATTAATTTGGTCTAGGAGAGGCAAGCTAGATAATGCACCTTGCATTGCTCTAGAATACTAGCATATTCTTTCAAGAATATACATTCTCTAGAATACATTTTGCTGCATTTTTTGAGTCGACGAACACGTGCTGAAAACGTTTGAATTCTAAAAAGTCCCAACTCGAAATATTTTTTTGAATTCTAAAAAATTAAACTTCTTGTCCAACACTTGAATCTTCGTATTTTATGTTTATTGGATTCCGCCCCTAGTGTTGAGAGATCTTCGTGCACTCACAAATTAATATTGTTTTATTAGCGTGAAGAAAACGATACATTTTGTCTCATTTGCTATCTGATTACAAAGATTTTTAAATACACGATTACATAACAAATTATGGTTGCTGCGCTCTGGGTGCTGTTTGAAGTAATTAATTTTGCAGCATAGCGCACGGTATTTATTGAACTTAAAACAAACGTTTTAGAAATTTTGCTACTATCCTTTTCGAATTTATCGAAAATCCTTTTTCTGAGCACATGTAAATTATTTAGGATTTATTTAAAGTTTCCGCGGGGGAGTGTCGTGCGAGTGTTGCAGTCTCAGCTTGCGACGTTTTTAGTTCGTGCCTTCGTATGACGGCCAGGGGCCATACTTTCAAAACTCACTAAGTGAACGTAAGTACTTACGCTCTATTTTCTTGTCTGTGATTGGTGGATTTTGCTTGAAAGGCCGTCAACGATTGGCTGATGAACTTACGATACCTGAAAGTTTTTTTTTTGAAAGTATAGGCCCTGGAGACGTACTATCAATAATACCGGTAGTATTCAGCCAAACACTGACGACTTCTCAACCTAAACCAACCTGTCACTTGCGGGAAAACGACCGCTACGTTTACATAGGCCAATACATGTACCTAGACCGCTACATGTACCTAGGCCGCTGCGTGTACCTAAGCCGCTACGTGTACCTAAGCCGCTACATGTACCTAGGCCGCTACGTGTACCTAAGCCGCTACATGTACATAAGCCGCTACGTGTACTTGGCTAGTTTTGATAGTACGGCTCCTGAGGATAAGCTCGAAATTCAAAGCTACCCTACAAATCTTCAGCTTCATCTCTTGTGCTACAAATTTCGTGGTGCTATTTATACCTTAGAATTTAGATGCCCGTAGTTTTGCACTTTTTTAATCGAGTTTTTTTTTTGCGGGTAAATATATTCATGATGTTTGTTCGTTCAAATTGTTAGTGTGAAATTAATAGAATGATGAAAAAAATAATGCTCAGTTTGACGCAATCTACTCTAATACCAGATTCCTTTCCATGGTGTAGTTGGATTGTACTGTGCTTTATAGACATAAAAAGGCCATGCTTGAAATGGCCATGTTTTTTGGAAAAGTTTTTATGATAAATTCAGGGTACACTTTGAATTTTCACTTTGTGATCCTGTTAAAACTGAAATTTTTTAACATCAGAATTCTCCGCACTCATTTATTTCTATACGAAGATGAAATGACGTTTGTTAACATCGGAACATCTTGAAGCTAACTATACGACTGTCTACTGAGATATCGGGCAACCACCTTCGTAAACTGTTTCCTATATAATATAATCGTAATGATTGCAGCATTTAATTAATCACTATATCCAGACAATGATTGATTCTTCCATCATGGCGTAGAAGTTCTGCTTTTGCAACTGCAAAGAAGATCGAGTTAGCACGACGAATATGGTCGAATTAAAAAGTGTAAACGATATGGCAAACTTAGAACTTCATTATCGCAAACTCCATCAAATTATGTGAAAATAGTTCTGCGGAATTAACGGAAGTTGGATGCGTAGAAAACTTCAACATCGCGTCAAATGGAAGTTGGCGGTTTGATGGTGAGAGGATATCATCGAGTAGAAATAAAATATTATTATAATGTTATTATAATGTTATTATAATGTTATTATAACGTTATTATAATGTTTCTGCACCCTCTATACGAGACTGGACTCGAATATTAGAATATTCCAGTACTATGGAAATGAGTGTTCTTGAAAAGTGAGTTATGCGTTGCGCTTCGTTTTGTTTTGCGCTTTCTGCTTTACCTTCTAACTATCATTAGCATCTGTTCCTAAGATGAGACTAGGAAAATTAATGGCATATAATATGGAGATCCGTGTTACTATTTACTGAATGATTATTATTTTGTGATGGATGTTAATCACGCTCTATCGGTAAATTAGTAAGTAAGTATAGACTTGAATGTACATAGATCACATCTAGTTCACTTTGAGAAATATGTGCTGGTACCTGATATTTTCAAAACGACCTGAATTTATTACTATACAAAATGGTTTGATAGTTAACTGCAACTCTCACATCAACAAATGTAACATAGAAAGGCGTGTTAGCCTGTGTTGAATTCGTCTGCTTTCAAATGTGAAGGCTTCTTGCAACCTGAATGTTATCTAACATATAAAACTCTATGCCTAAGTTAAACATTATTTAAGTGTACGTAGTGTGTTTGATTACGAAGAAGGCGGTGGTAGTCTAGAGCACGGAGCCCTCTCATCTACAATACCTCTATTTCTGTTCAGGCTTTTAGACCATTAGTATTGCATAGTTTTTATGTGCAAGGCTACATCCATCTCCTTATTATATTTTTTCGATGTTTGATGGCTATTTATAAGTAAGTCGTTCACGTACGAAACGCTGAGCTCAGTTACGGGTACGGCATCCAGTTAGCTTTAGCCCTCGTGACCTCGGATAAGTATTCTCGGATACTTATCTGAGTTATCTATCTATGATAAGTATTCTCGTATACTTATCATGTATACTTTCATTGTCCACCAACATCGCTTCTTTGCGTTCCTATCTTCCTTGCGCATTACTACGGGTACTGTTCTGCTAATATATTCTTCTCCCTTATTATCTATCTGTTAAGTTTTGTTTTCGCTTTTCAATAGGAATTCTGTCTGTACTCCTTCATGATGTATTTAATTTAAATGCCAATTTTTTCCTAGAACTCGTCTATTATTTTATCATAATAGCCCGTATCTCACAGGATATTTTCTTTTTTTTTCTTATTCTAAAAGGTACTTTTTCTTTATTTTTCATCAGTGGTTTCTGTAAATAGACCGATAATTTATTCCTAGAACTTACAACTCGCGACTATCAGCGTCTCGAGCCAAACTTGTTCGGTTGCTATAGTTTATTGTTTCTTTTAGTTGTAATTCTTCTATGAGTAACTGTTACGTATTGAGTATTAATAAATACCTCGACATCACTGCTCTGCAGTTCACTAAACGTTGCATTAAAGCGTTCCTGCCGCGGCTACAGAGCCTCGCCTCGTCAACTTAGTCAATTAATATCAAGTTTCTTTCCCTTTTCTGGTGCCATCTTTTACTGTGAAGAAAACATCTCTGGGTATTGATTATGATTATGGTTGTTTGTAAGGATGCACTCAAGAAAACGAACGGGTCATACGTAGAAACGAACGGGCGTGCGTAGCAATGATACGCCCTTTAAAACTGAGTCTGGATGACCCACTCAAGAGGGAACTCATTTCATTGAATGTTCGTTGTTTTTATCTTGATTGCAAAGTGCTTAATGCCGTCTGTGCTTGCTGCAAACAACTGGAATTTCAGTATTACTTTTTTTACAGTATGTCGTCTGGTTTTAGACAGAAATTTTTGTCTGGAACTACATGAAAAGCATTCGATTTTAGTTACAGATCCAGCTTCGTTCTTACCTACTGTGCGATTTTTCTGCCCAATTAAGATTTATTATTAAATTAATCAACATTTTCCCCATCTTTCTCAATTATTTTACAGAACGCTATGTGGCTATCATTCCATGCTAGATATTATTATTAACGGGTGCTGTTAGTATTCTCCTATTGTCATGAAGAATCTGAACCTGAACTTTAATCTCGACTGTAAAGCTTAGCAAGAGTGCGTGCAACTGCATTAATTCCCACTGCACTCACGGGTATTTCTGGAGGAGAGAGAGAGAGAGAGAGAGAGAGAGAGAGAGAGGCTCTCTGTCTCTCTCTCTCTCTCTCTCTCTCTCTCTCTCTCTCTCTCTATTTTCTGTCGTATATTCTCAGTTATTCCTAAAGTCTGTATGCATTCTTGCTTTGTTGTGTTTGTAGTTTATGACAATCGAAATATTTTGCTCTAATTTAAATTTCATCATGTACCGGATTCTCTTCAACAATTTTCGTTATAAATATCGTATTATTAGATCGAGGATGACGTCATCGAGCTGCTCTGATACCACGATCAGCGTTAAGACTTTCTTGTTCACATCTTCTCTATTGTTCTCAGGGATTTCAACTTAGTAATTATTGTACATTAATTTTACTGTAGTGTTTAAGTTTCTTTGTTTAGTGAATATTTCAGCACTGAAGTTAAGCGTTACTTATTTCGTAATTCGACGAAGATCAACGGAATTCGTGGCCTCTGAGAGTGAATTTCACTGAAATGAAGTCACAGTTTTTTTTTTAGCTGTGAATTAGCCACCCGTAATGATCTAGGAAATATTTGAAAATGTTTTACCTAGAAATATTGTTTAAAAAGTTTTTATTTTGGTTATAGGTTATACGTGCTTAACTTCATTCGATGAAATCTTTGAATTCGTATCGACAATTCGACATGAATTGCAAAAGTTGTGAATTTTCTTCACCGTTGAATATTTTCTTCGAAATGATCCTCAGCTTTCAAACTAGCAATTATTGATTGATCGTTGAAAAAAATGAGTTTTTTTCTGGCATAAGAGTAGCTTTTGTACTTCGATAGTTGTCCTTGACTTTATTCGTTCGATATCGGATTTAACTCTAAAGACAACCGAGTAGATACGAGATTTTAGTGTCGTGACAAATGTACGCTAGAATTCAACAGAAATACGATTTTTAGCTGTGACTGCGAGGAAGAAATCTTGCTTTTTCGATTCGCGCTTGAACATAATTTACTGTAAATGCTCGAATAAGAGTATATTTAAAAGGCCCGCACATGAGAATCTTAAAGATGGGAGAATTAAAAAAAAAGAGTTTTTTGACAATCAAGCAAGCGGTTGGCCAGGAGCAGCTGTGGCATCAACTACATAATTCTCGCAACGTCGTTCACATCCTTTTTCGTGGAAATTTCAGTTTCAAAATAATGTATGTGAACGACTATATGATGCATGTGAGCTTTCTATTGCCAAGTTAAGGCTGTTCTTCGAAATGAATACTCATTTCGAATTTACTTTTGAAAAGGTGATTTGAAGTGAACTTGCGTGGTTTGAACTGAATTGGCATATTCATTTCAAACCAGTCATGTTAATTGGGACTTTGGTGCTGGGCAATTACGTCATTTGTTTGTTAGTGTGAGTAATGCAATTCAATTTTTATACAATCTGAAGATCCGAATTTGTATAGGCAGCTTGAATACAGCTAGTAACAGGCTGATGTGCGAATGTCTTCTGACTCCGAAGTGAAGGAGATCTCGGGCCCAGGTTTCTTTTGATGAGTTAGACGAATAAATTTTGTTCTCTAGACTATCAAGCCGACTACATTATCGATTTATTTACGTTTAACCCGATTTTTTTCTTTTTCACGAGTAAGAAAAACTATTTTTGTGCGATTTCTGGTGAATTTTTTAATACAAGGCATAAGAATTATATAGAAATTACTGTTGCT